TCTCTTTCTCACGTTTCTCTAACCGGAAACTCCCCTCACCATTTCAACTTGTACCTAACCGAACCCTTGAGCGTCCCATACGCTCGCACAAGCAGAATATCTAAAAGCTAGATTACCCATGATTCTGCAGAGAAATCTCCACCAAGCAGAGAATCACAACAAGAAAATTGCGCCAAAATAATTATTTAGCACCTGCCCACTTCCATGAACCACATTATAATGACAGAATCAGTTTCCCCATGCTCTCAAACGTAGATATTTGTATGGATGTACATTTTTCAATAAACATAAAATATATTGTTTTTGTTTATGTATATATATAAACAAGCAACATAAGCATAAACATAAGCATCTTTATATGACTAGTTTTATGTTTCAACATTGTTTTTATTTTATGTCATTTGCAATGCTTCATGAGATTGGAGTTATTTCTCCCATTAAAGTAAACATTCCTGTGCCTTTTGTTTTGATTCAAAATTTGCTTCAAAGTTTATAATGTTGTGATTCACCTCATAGCCGGTTAAACGTAAACTTTTTTTAAAACCCTATGAGAAAAATGAAAAAAAAATACTTTCGGAACCAAAGCTGCTAAAAAAGAGGGTGGACAATGTTGCAATCTATCGAACATTAAAAATCTCCCATTGGTCAGCAAAACAGATAGTCCCACACCCAACTCATCCCATTGGTTAAAAAATAAATAAAAACAGAATACTATGAATGGAGGTGGGGCTGTATATTGCTTTTGAAACAAAATAAATGTGAATTGAACTGGATTACACAAAGCTGTTCCATAAAGCTTGGAAATTCCAAGCTGGAATATATCACAAAAGTCACATGGACCCCTTTAATAATACTTTTATGTTTTTTCCCCCTCATTTTGAAGCCTGACAGCCTCAGTGCCTCTGAGGCTCACTCTTTTATATGGAAAAGAGTGAGCAGGACGTTCTTCAAAATTTCACCTTTTATGTTCCACGGAATAAATAAAGTCATACAGGTTTGGAACAACATGAGGGAGAGCAAATAATGACAGTTTTTAATAGTATTATTATTATTGAACTGCAAAAGGGACGCTGAACATGACCATTTGTTCTCTTATATTTCATATTAATGTCAATCTCATATCATTTTTATTTTCTATCCCTTCACGTCACAAATCAATTATTTTGCTACTTTGCAAACACTGCCATTCCTTCAGGAGATGCAAATCTAGTAGTATACAGTAACTTCATATAAAATGTCTGCACATCATATTTGTTGTCCTACCTGAGATTTGAGGTGATATTCGGCCCGTTGGGAGCGGTTCGGCGCGTGGAGCCACAGCAGGAAGGCACCACTGTCGCATGGTCGAGGAGTCACCCGCAGGGGACAAGGGGGGCTGTCAAAACATCACAATAAGTACTAACAGCCAGTCAGCATGTGTCAGTTAGTCATGCTAGAGTAAAGATACAAACAACTCGGCTACGGTCTGCTTTAATAACCACCTCAAATAACAGCTAACGCACGTCTGTAATCACGACTTTATTTTGTGTCAGGCTCGCGCTAACTGGCTAGCCCCAGCGGGCACGCGCTGCTGTGCAACTGCATGCAAGAATGCTTTATCTTCGCCTTTGTTTTCCCACTTGCAGCTGAACCCAGTGACTTGGGGACGGCTTTTACTTTTGCCAGACAACGCGGAAAGTCACGCAGTACAATAAAAAATGTCACTGCTCTAGTTTTTGAAACAGATTCGCGTCTCGCTATGTCACTTGTTATGACTGCGAGTGTGAGATGCCTTCAGTAGCACAGCTTTGATGCACAGAGCGCTAGAGTAACTGTATTGCCGCTAGCATGAAAAGCTATATGCCCTACACGCAGTTATCCGCCTTACCTCCCCGCGCTACCGTCAAACTGCCGCCGGAGTTGGAGATGGTGCGGTCGGTGC